AACACAGGTGGGACAGTCTTCTGGACACAGGAGGTACAAGCTATAGGACAGAGGAGTGAGAAACCCCTGGATACAGGAGGGACAGTCTGCTAGACACAGGAGTGAGAAATCACTGGATACTGGGAGGACACAGGACAGCCACACTGCTGGACACAGGAGGGACAGATTGTCGGTGAGTTTGTGCTGAGTGAATTTGCTGTGCGGTGACCAGGGATGTGGAAAGGAGGGGTAGGAGGCAGAAGGAGAGAGAGTCCAGGGAGCGGGGACTGAAAAAAGGGAGCGTTTTTCTGTTTGTTCTTCAGAAGGCCCATTCTGCTTTCAGACACCAGCATGTTTTTCCTGAAAGCAGAAGTTTCTGTCTGTCATGGAGTGAGTAACGAGCGACAGCAACAAGGGAAACTGCTGAATGGGTCTGTGTGTGGGGGCGGCTCATTCCAACTTCGCTTTTGTCCTCCTCTCGCGGACTCACACAGTCTAGTCCACAAAGAAACCCACCCAAACGCACAACCAGTAAGTATGCACGGTCTCAAAAGACACTCCGGCCCTCTGTAAGAGAAGCACACAGACACATGTACACAGACATGCACACCAACACACACTGACAAAGACCAGCACACACACTGACACGCTACTGTTTATACTGACACACACCAACACACACTGACACACACTCCTGTTTATAGTGACTGACACACACCAACACACACACTGATACACACCAGCATACACTGACACACACCAACACACACTGACACACACTAACACACACTGATATACACTCCTGTTCATACTGAAGCACACAGCCCAACACACACCAACACACACTGACACACACCAATACGCACCGACACACACAGACACACTCTCCTGTTTATACTGACTGACACACACCAACACACTCCAACACACACCATCACACACTGACACACACTCCTGTTTATACTGACACACACCAACATACACACTGACACGTATACTCATATACACCAACACACACCTATACACACCCTACTTACTGTACTTACAGCCCTACTAAACATCCTGAACACAGCCCTACTGACTATACTCACAGTCCTACAGATCGCCCTGAACACAGCCCTACTGACCACCCTGAACACAGCCCTACTGACCACCCTGAACACAGCCCTACTGACTGTACTCACAGCCCCACTGACCAGCAAGGTCAATCACATTGTGGAACTTAAACCAGGGAAACTGTTATTTCCCTTATTCCCTGCTTCTGCAATTTCTGCTCATTGCTTCCTTAGAGAAAGCAATTTACTGCACCAAAGGTCCTCATTAATGGGCAACAAGGATTTCTGAAGCATTATAGGCCAACAACAGAGGCAGAAAATTAATGTAGTCTGCATGGCACAGTGCATCACTTTTCACACTGTCTCTGTCATCTCCACCCCTTCACACAGAGCCCCTGTCACCCCTTCACACTGTCTCTGTCATCCTCACCCCTTCACACAGAGCCTCTATCACCCCTTCACACAGAGCCTCTATCACCCCTTCACACTGTCTCTGTCATCCTCACCCATCCTTACAGGTGAAGGGATACAGGTGCAGTGATTACAGATG